AAGGAAGGAAGGAAGGAAGGAAGGAAGGAAGGAAGGAAGGAAGGAAGAAAAAAGAAAGAAAGAAAGTTCCGTCTGGCTGGAGCACAGAAGGAAATCTTAAAGTCTGCAGACATGGGCTGGGTCAGAGGTTGGTAAATCTCCATGGCTGAGAATTTTTATCTAATATCATCAGGCAACAGTTAGACCTCTGTTTGCCTTTGGAGATAATTTAAGGGAGTGAGAGAAACACTTTTAACGAGAACTTACACTGATGAAATATTTTATTAAAGGCACCTGCCTCCTAGATGCTCACAACGAACCTATGAGCTAGAAATTATAACTGCGCCCATTTTCTAGATGGGAAAACTGAGTCCTCACTGTGCCTACTGGGAAGAGGGAAATCGACCTCTGAATTCATCTGCGTTCTTTTTTCTTTTCTCTCCATGACAGAAAAAAAACAGAAAATAGAGGATATTCTGTCAGACAAGAAACTGAGAGAACATAATTCATATGTGGAGGTACTAGCCGGGCGCCCAGCAGGTGCCACAGCCCGGGCAGACTGAACCACCCACCCCACCTCCTTCCCTTCCCTTGGAGGCTCAAGGCAGAGCCTCCCACCAGCTGCGTGTCGGCTTGGTGGCGAACGGCTTTGGGATTTGGGTAAATGTGTGTGGGACAGACAGACAGACTTCAGTCACCACTGCGGGAACACACGCGAGTGATGCGTGGAAAAGAGAGGAAGGAAGTCGAGAAAGCTGGAGCCACAGCAAGACAGGTGAAACTCTCAGAGACAGAGGGACCGGCAGGAGAGAGGCCAAGTGCTAGAGAGTGGCCAGAAAGACAGGGACACACAGGCAGAAGCCAGAGGCAGAGGGACTGAGCTGAGCCCAGGGAGGGAAGGAGGGAAGAAAAAGAGGTGCCCTTCACTGCCTTCCTGACCCTGTCCCTGGTCCTTCCCAGGCCTCAGCCCCAGACCGCCCTCCCCCACTGTGGTCCCCACTCCCTCCTCGCGGCGGCCCTGCCGTGCCCCGTCACCCCCCCCCCCGCCCTCCCCCCCCCTATTGTCCCCCCCACCCCTGCCTGAGTTGGCCCAGCCATGCCCACCGCCCCCCACCTCCCCCCGCCAGAAATGCATCAACTGGAACCGGGAGGTGCTGAAGCGGGAGCTGGGCCTGACCGAGCGGGACATCATCGACATCCCCCAGCTCTTCAAGCTCCGGGAGGAGGAAGTCAGCAGGGTCCTCAAGGCCGAAGCCTATTTTCCAAACATGGTGAGGAGGTGGTCTTTGGGATCGGCCCGCCTTTGCAAATGGCCTTAAGTCTGGGACCCTGGGCGCAGATCCGGGGGCCTTGGCTGTCTGCTTGGGGTCCGCGTGGCTCACAGGGCGGCTCTGGGCATCTCACAAGCGCCCTGGGAACCCGAGACTCTTCACCCGCTCCCACTTCACAGATGAGGCACAGGGAGGTCAGGTCTCTGGCGCAAGAGCACACAGCTGGTAAAATGGGATTTCGAGCTGGGGCTCGCAGCCGGGGGTCTGGCTGCAGAGCCCATGCCCTCACCACGTGGCACTGCCCCCCGGGGGCTTCCCCGTGTGGGGCGCTGCGGGTGTGCGGTGGACGGAACAAGCAGCTAACACCGGCTCTCAGGTCGCGTTTGGAAGGGATCGAGGTGGGGCACCATTTCAGACGGGGGTGGTCCGGGAAGACTTCTCTGAGGGCGTGAGGCTAGCACTGCCCAGGCTGGGTGGCTTCTCTCCTCTGAAGGGTGGACTTGAGGGGGATCCTGCCTTTGTCGAGAACTTTTAACCGTGACCGCCCCCCTCCCTGCCAAGCACCATCTCAAAGCCACCTATGGTATTTTTACCATCCCTGTGCCCTGACTGAGCCTGCATCTGTTCCGTGAGCATGACGTCTAATCGTCACAGCAACGGAAACCCGTTTGGGCTCATTTTGCCGATGAGGCTCAGAGAGGTGAAGGGCCAGGCAGAAAACTCAGCCAGTTCTGCTGGGGCCCCTCAGCCGCCCTCTCCTGCTGGGGTTGGAGGTCACATTCAGGGAGGAGCCCGGAGCCCCTGGCACGGAGGACGCCAGACTGGTTTCCCCAGGTCACTGGGGTTCCAAGATGGTGCCTCAAAGCCAGTGGTTTGAGTTTGTTCTGTTTTGGGCATCAAGGCGCCGCAGAAGATTTTATTTCGAAGAAGAGGTTCTGTGGTTAAAACAAGGCAGGAGGGGCACCTTGACTAAAGTTCCTTGGCCCCAAGCGTTTTGTTTCTCCACGTCAGCCCAGCCGGGTTTCCTAGGCAGGAAAGAAGGCTGATGCCGGCGGCCAGGGGATGAGGCATCACGAGCGAAGTCATCAGCTCCACTCTGTGCCTTGGCTGCTGGAGGCTCTGGAAGGAGTCTGAGCATGAGCTATGACTCACCCCAGGAGCCCGCAGTGGGAGGCGGGGGCGTGGGCGTGGAACGGGCAGAGAAATTCAGGGTGCAAGACACTCAGCAGGGGCTGTGTCTGGACCATAACAGAGGATGAGAGGCCCTTCCCTGACTCCTGAGCCCTGCACCTGTTCCGTGAGCATGACGTCTAATCGTCACAGCAACGGAAACCCCGTTTGGGCTCATTTTGCTGATGAGGCTCAGAGAGGTGGAGTGACTTGCCTAAGGTCAAACAGCTATTGAGTAGCAGCGCTGGGATTCAAACCCATGTTGGCCTAGAGCCAGAATCATCCTCCTTTCACCTCCCAGTATAAGAGAGAGAACAGTCATTTCCATAAATAATACACGGAGAGTGCTACCAAGAAGGTAATCATTTATTCATCCAGTCATTGGATATTTACTAAGCGCCTGCTATGGGCCAGGCCCCAGGCTCGCAGCTGTGGGGGGAGCAGACAGGAGGAGCACTAACTATCAGAGTCCGGGGACTCATGGGCGGCTTTGCAGAGGGGGTGCCACCTGAACTGAGCCTTGAGTAATAGAGAGTTTGCCAGAAGGCGGCAGATGGGAAGGAGAGAACATGGGCCCTGGAGTCTGACAGACTTGGGTCTGAGGCCCAGACCAGCAGGGTGGCCGGAAGTAGCCCGCTTTACCTTTCTGGGCCTCTGTTTCCCCGTCTGTGAAGGGGGGCTGCTATTTTGGAAGGTCAGAAGGAAAAGTGGACCCACGGGCAGTGAGGCAGGCTGCACGCCGTTGGCTCTGAGCTGGGACCCCGCTTCTTTGCAGGTGAACATGCTGGTGCTGGGGAAGCACCTGGGCATCCCCAAACCCTTCGGACCCATCATCAATGGCCAATGCTGCCTGGAGGAGAAGGTGCGGTCCCTGCTGGAGCCGCTGGGCCTCCACTGCACCTTCATCGACGACTTCACCCCGTACCACATGCTGCATGGGGAGGTGCACTGTGGCACCAACGTGCGCCGGCAGCCCTTCTCCTTCAAGTGGTGGCACATGGTGCCCTGAGCCCGTCCCCCGCCCTCCCCACCCCCATGTCCTTTCCCTTTGGAAGCTCCTGGCCAGAGGCTCTGGTCCCCTGCAGTGTGGCACAGCAAGAGCTCTGGGGAACAGGTCCTCTCCCTGGGCGTGGCCACCTTCCCGGCAGTGTCTTGCTCCCCTCCGCCGTGCCCTGGAGCCCTGGGCACCCCCTCTGAAGATCCCAAGGTAGTCCTGGCCTTGCAGACTCGTTTCTGCTGTGAGATGCTGCAATAAAGTTTGATAATCTCTTTGTAAGGGAGGTCAAGCTCTCATTGCTATTTGTGCATTCACTCATTGTCATGGTCAGGCTGAATGCTGCAAACTCGAAGTTGAAGGTCAGTGCTACTCTGTGTGGCTTTTTCTCCCAGGTCTATACTTTGTGAAGTCTTCTGTGATCTGAGCCCAGCTGATTCTAAGCTCCCATGGAGGCTTTGGTGGGGCGGCAGGGGGTGGGGGGAAGGCTGAGCCCCGCGGTTGCGGCACATCCCTCCTCTAAGCTGCATTGAAGTCAGTTCCCCAGCAGCCAGCCAGGTGAACATCCCGAGGCATACGGATGCCCGTCTGATGACTCGCTGTCATGTGTATGTGTGACAGACACACCTCCGCTGTGTGTTTCCTGATAAAGAAAATTATAGGAAGCACACTGGATGCCGAGCACATCGGCAGGAAGAGCGCCAGGGACAGTCATGTCAGCCTCAGACTTCTCGGGAGACCCCAAAGGGATGTGTACGATGTTCCGAGGGCAAAGGTGGGGCCAGGAATTGCATTCCTGTTCGTGCTATCCTTTGAGAAAAAGGTAGTAGGGCGCCTGGGTGGCTCAGATGGTTAAGCATCTGCCTTCGGCTCAGGTCATGGTCCCAGGGTCCTGGGATCGAGTCCCGCGTTGGACTCCCTGCTCCTTGGGAGCCTGCTTCTCCCTCTGCCCCTCTCTCTCTCTCTCTCTCTGTCTTTATTGAGTGAATAAATAAATAAAATCTAAAAAAAAAAGAGAGAGAAAAAGGTAGTAGATGGCCAGTGCTAGAACCCGAGGGGGCATGAGCGTGAGGGTTTGACTGTTGTGTGAGACCCAGACGCCAGAGAATTCTCTGTGTCCCTCGTATTTGTCGTTCCCATTCTAAGACCGTGAAGGGGCTTGTTTGTTGCTGTCCCCAGGTGCCAGGTGTGGCGCGCAGCGGGGGGGGGGGGCGGGGGGGGGGGGGGTGCGTGGCTGTTGTGGAATGAAGTCACTAGTCTCCCTCTGTGTCCTTCGTGTACGTTTCCTTTCATGGCCCTGACATAGGGATTTAGGTTCCTCTGTAGAAAATAAAACCTGATGCCTCCAGATTTTGAAAACGAAGGCCAGATCTTGGCTCCATAGGGCCTGCGATGCTCACTAAACACCCAGAGATGCTGTTTTCATGTGGTTACGGAGAATAGACGATGGTGGAAAAGGTGGACATCCAAAGCCCCTACCCTCACACCACAGAAAAAAGGATCCAAAAAACCTAGGTCAAACCGTGCTTCTCCGAAGAGAGTCAGCTGCTTCCCCTCCAAAACTGCTGGGGCAAAGGATGCACGAGTGGGTTTTGTGGACCAGAAAGGGGACAGTGCACAGCGGGGCACTGGTGTGAGGTTGTCCCCAAACCTGACCACAGGGCAGCCTGGAGCAGCTACCCGCCTCAGCAGACAAAAGCCAAAGGTTTTGCCAGATTGCGGGAGCTGCAGAAGGACCGAGGGACAAGCTGGTGACTGGAGCAGCCTTGGCATCAAGACAGACCCAGGGGAGCCTCCCCCAGTCACTCATGGGGGGGCGGGAGCCTCTGCGAAGGACCAGGGAAGCCCAAGTGAGAGAAAGCACCCACCGTAAGTCCGGCCAGCTCTGCACAGCACAGAGCCATCCTAGGACAGTGCCTGGGGATCGAGAACTTTCCTGCTGCCTCCCCTCCCCTCCCCTCCCCTGCGGTCACAGGTTACTTGCCTGAGGCTGCCGTATGTAACATGTTACCACAAACTGGGTGTCTTTTTTTTTTAATATTTTATTTATTTATTTGACAGAGAGAGAGAGCGAGAGAGGGAACACAAGCAGGGGGAGTGGGAGAGGGAGAAGCAGGCTTCCCGCGGAGCAGGGAGCCCGATGCGGGGCTCGATCCCCGGACCCTGGGACCATGACCCGAGCCGAAGGCAGACACCTAAAGACTGAGCCACCCAGGTGCCCCACAAACAGGGTGTCTTAAAACAACCGAAATGTATTCTCTCCGTTCTGGAGGCCAGAAGTCCAAAATCAGTTTCAGGGGGGCTGCAATCAAGGGGCGGGCGGGACTGTGTCCCCTCCGGCGGCTCTGAGAGGAGTCCGTTCCTCATCTCTTCCAGCTCCTGGTGGCCACCGGCATGCCTCCAGGACCCGCTGTGGTCACCTTGCCTTCTTTTCTGTGTGTGGCAAATCTCTCTCTGCTTCTCTTATAAAGACACTCATCACTGCTTTTAGGGTCCACTCAGAAAAGCCGGGATAATCTCCCCATCTCAAAGAGTCATGGTCACCTGTGTAAAGACTTCCTGTGTGAGATGACACAGGTTCCAGGATTGGGATCTGACATCTTTGGGGGGCCGTTAGTACACCTCCCACGGTTAAGAACCACTCTGTCCAGCTGTGGCACGCGGAAGAGGCAGAGAGAATCCCTGCACCTCTTTTCCACAGCTTGAAGCATTGCACATGCATTAAACCTTAGTGGGAAAGGGACAAGAGTTAACTTTTTAAAAACTGAGATATAGGGGCACCTGGGTGGCGCAGTCGGTCGAGTGCCAACTCTAAAGTTTCAGCTCAGGTTGTGGTCTCGGGGTCGTGAGGTCCGGCCCTGCGTCAGGCTCAGTGCGGAGTCTGCTTGGGATTCTCTCTCCCTCTACCCCTCCCCCTGCTCTCTTTTTAAAATAAATAATCTTTAAAAAAAATTTTTTTTTAAAGATTTTATTTATTTATTTGTCTGAGAGACAGAGCACAAGCAGGGGGAGAAGCAGACTCCCCACTGAGCAGGGAGCCCAACGTGGGGCTCGATCCCAGGACCCTGGGATCAGACCTGAGCCAAAGGCAGTCGCTTAACCGACTGAGCCACCCAGGCGTCCCATAAAATAAATAATCTTTAAATAAATCTTTAAATCAATCCATCAGTAAAGACTGAGATATAATGGACACATAACACTGTATAAGGTTAAGGTGCGCAGTGTTGAGTTGATACACTTGAATACGGCAATGTGATAGCATGCCACATTATTAATATTTCTTTTGTGTGGGCGGGCAGATACAGTTTTATAAAACCAAGTTGGAGGTTTTCTTTTGTGTGGAGTTTGACTTTTGAACCTCTGAGTTGAAATTGTCTGGTAACTGTTTCATGTCTGCTTTCCAGAAACAGATTTGGAGGGGGAGAGGTGCCCGCAGGTGGTGGGTGGGGACCCGGAGGCGGTGGACAGGGAACCACATTGGGGAGGGAGTGTGGTGGTGGAGGCAGCGGGAGACAATGTGCAGGGATGTGGGAGCTACAAAGGTTTTGGGTAACCCACGGGATGCCCTGGTGCTGGGATAGGCCCTTGGAGTTGTCCTGTATTAAGACAAGCGACCTGCCCTTTGTCGGCCCCCGCAACACTGGAGGAAACTGCCCCCAAGGAAGGGACACAGCCGTGGGAACTGGCAGTGTGGACAGTTCCAGGAGGGGGGCCGGCAGCAGCTGGGGGATAAGTGCCTGTGTCCTGAAGGGGGTCAGGTGGCGTACCATAGCATCCCTCACCGTGACCTAAATTGACCATGGGACCTGGTTACCTGAATGATGAGGGAAATTTCCTGAGGAGCTGAGGGGGACAGTCTACACTGAGCAAGCATGCAGAGAGCTGTGGGAGTCTAGGAAAACTTGCCTCACGGTCACAGAGCCCTTGGTTTGGTTGGAGAGCCCGATGGAAGCCCACTGGGGTATCTTTTTGAGGGGTATGGGGTTCATGTAGTCATTTGCACCCCAAGAATTTATTGAGCACCTACTATGCCCAGGACTCTTTTGTGGGTGCTGGGGATTCAGTGGTGAACAGGAAGCCCCCTGGAGAGGGAGCAAGACCCACTCTAGATCCCTCCAAGTCCCTTCCATGCCCAGAGGGGTCTCCATCCTCCAGGTTGAGAGTGCTCCTCCCCCACAGCGCTCAGAACCCTGCACAAGGCAGGGCTGTCTGAGGTCAGGGGGGACAGAGGTCCCAGACGGTTTGGCTCCAGAAGCCAGAGCCCAACCCTCAGCAGCCCCTCCCCAGTCCGACCATCCCCTCCCTCCAGCCCACCACTGGCGGTGTGGGTGGGAGTACACATGGGCTGAGCGCCTCCTGCCTGCTTAATATTTGCCACTTTCAGCCCAAACAGAAGGGGCTTTCGGGTCTTCCTGGCCAACCCGCTGTGTCCAAGAGCCCCCTAAGTAAAGCCACCCCTGACAGTTATGTTGCATGCTTAACTCTTCCAAGGAGGGATATTTCTACTTTTAGTCCTGAATTTAACAAGCCTGGCTGACCGAGCGGAGTTCACTCAGGACCCAACTTACGTACCCTGTGCTGTTACACACTGGTTACACATCGCCGCTGCTGTGTGTCAGGGCCAAAGACTGAAAACAAATGTGTCTACATATCACGGTGCCGCTCTGCTGGGAGGACCGTGCGGCCATCAAAAAGGATAAGGATGCTTTTCACAAGCTGCCAGGACGCACTTGTCTCCAAGTTGCACTAGGAAATGCAAACAGCAAGATATGGATACTATGTAGCATATGCCGCCACTTACATAAAGATAAGAAGGAGGGGAGGATATGCATACATGCTTGCTTGGTCGTGCATTGCATTTATATGGAAAGACACAGAAGAAATGGATACCACTGACCGCCTCCAGAAGGAACTGGATGGGTGAGAAACAGAGCAGGAGGGACACTGTCACAAGCCCCTTTTGAACTTGGAACCATGTGAACGTGGTACCATTTCAAGAATAACCATAAACCCTCACTTTAAACCATAACATGAACACTGCTTTAAAATTAGCTGGCGAGTCCCCTGGGCTGGAGCTGTTCTCATTTCTTTGCCCAGTGAGCTCAGGGACGATGGGAAGCAGCTGGCGAACTGGGCTCAGCAGGGGCTCCTCGGTTCATTCATTCCACCAACACTTGCCATGCCCCCTCTGGGAGCTGATGCCACCACTGAGGACAAGGAGTGTCCCCCAATCACCTGAGGATGGGACTCAGGTTCCTGGACCACACCCCAGACCTGCCAGGCCCA